ATTGTACTATTTAACAATACGTATTATTTGTAAGTTAATAAATAAATAAATATCAATGACTTTCAGAAATATTTGTTTGAATCAATTTAGATAAATTTTCATTGTTTTTACTTTATTTATTAGACTCTATACGGCTGTTAGTAGTGATTCAAAAGGAATTTGGCGTGCACAATTAGCATTAGCTACTTGTGATCAGAATTGTTTGACGAAAACCAATTGGAAATATTATGGACCTTTATTTCCTAATGTATTTTGGAGTAAAAGTGGTAGCTTATTAGTTCATAATGATACACATCGTTATTTATTCTTTAATGATTCACATATTTCTATCGCTCAAACAAAAGATCTTATTCATTATGATTTATCCTCTGCATTTCTTCTTAAAACTCGTCCTGATCATTTTGATTCTGAACTGGTCGAAGCTGGACCACAACCATTAAAATTAAGTGATAAAAATTATTTATTTCTTTATAATTCAGGACGAAAAACAACCATTCCAAATCCTAAACCTGGTTGGAATATTCAATATAATTTAGGATGGGCAATATTAAATGGAGATGATCCAACACAAGTTTTAGCTCGAAGTGAACAACCAATTTTATCACCTGAATTAGATTGGGAAAAATGTGATAATAGTTCAGGAATATGGGCTAATCGTGGTCTTACACCATTAGTTATTTTTGTTGAAGGTTGGAAACAAACAGCCGAAAATACATTCTTAGTTTGGTATCAAGGTTGTGATTCAACGATGGGTTTAGCTGAACTTAAAGTATATTTTTCATAAATTATAAACAATACATTATTTCCTTAGTCATAGTAACATTGTTTTATCTAAGAAATATATATATATATCGAAAAGATAGACAATCACTCAAGTTTTATATTAATTGAATTTTAGAAAATGCAATAGAATAATAAGTCATCATGCCCTTCAATTTGTTCTGTAGAATTTTATGATACTATCCAAAATGAATCGAGTTAAATTTAACATTGTCTATGAAGAACTATGATAATTACAGTGAGATAGTTCTATTTTGTAAAATATCGTCATTTTTTTTGGTTAATAAATAATCAATTTATGAATCACGAATAGATATATAAAACAAATTGAAAAAGCAACTTTGACATTTTGATAAAATATCATTTCAAGATTGAAAATAGTTGTGATTGCATATGTAGAATTAAATATCATATTATGCGACAGAGAAAATGAAAGAAACAAAACCCACATACATATACAGAACAAAAGAAAAAACATCTCTATCACCTGTTACGCAGCTCTTTTTACATGTGTTCTTTTTTGTTTTCAAAACAAACAACTTTTTAGATGTTCTTTTTTTTATCCATGGTGATATGGATTTGGATGATGACTAATTAAACTTGAGGATAAATTATGCATACGCATATTTCGTGTATATTCATCTTCGGCATGTTGATGTTGTTGTGGATATTGAGAATGAAATGACATTGGATTATCCTTGAAAACAAAAAAATAGTAAATACATTTTCTATTCTATCCTATGTAACTTACAAGAGTTGAACGAACATTAAAATCACATGATGATGGTGGTGGTGGAAATGGTGAATAGAAAACAGCTGCAGCTGCAGCAGCACTAGTAGCTGGATCTGTTGCCATCATAATACTAGTTGGAGATGATGTCGATGCATTTCCTCGACTATTGAACATTTGATGAAATGATGATGATGATGTTGGATTTGTTGAAAATACTTTGGATGTTAATCGAGCAGATGATGATATAGATAAACTATTCAATGGTGATGAATTATGTGAATGTTTACGAGCTTTTGCTCGACGATTTTGAAACCACACCTAAACAAAAAAAAAATTTTTTTTAATTGTTTCGTTATATTTGATACTCATTCAACCATATATAAATATGATTCTACATGACATGTGTAAGGAGGTTCTCTATTACGAAGAGAAATGACACCTTAGTTGTGTCTATTCTAAAGAAGTGGGCCCATATGTCCAAATTTTGTTTAATTCGCTGCCGCTATGATGCTGATTTCTTTTCTTTCTTCTTCCGTTCTTTTTTTTATTTTGAGTGAACAGTTGTTCAAAACGACACGTCTCGAT